CCACACGGATCCTTTAGGCCCAGCATCAATGCCACCTCCTTCATGATGCCTTCTCCAGTCACCTTCCGACCTTGTGACCTCTCCCAAACTTCAGAATGTGTTCTAACCACCTATGGGTCTTGTTTCAGGGAGTCTGGAGTGGGCCTGAGAACCTGCATTCCTAACACGCTTCCAGTGAGGCCGTGCTGCAGTCCAGGAACACTTGGTGGGGCAAGGAGAACACCTTGCATCATTCAAATGGAATTGATCACACAAGGCCTCGTATTATTAATACTGAAGTGTGGACCTTAACTTCCCTTCTAGACTGAAAATACCTTGAGAGCAGCAACCCACAGAGGAGGCGTCTATGTAGTAGAAAGAGAGCCAGGGTTAAATCAGACAGCTCGAAGTTTCAGTTTCACTCTACCACTGACTGCTATGATAGTGACTAATCCCAGGACCTCTGAATCTCAGTTTCCTTATCTGTAAAATGGGGATAAAAATTACCTCCCTCTCAGAGGATTAACGGAAACAGTGGCTGTGATGATGCCTAGCATACTGCCTGATGCTGAAAATATTTCAGTTTTGGCTTCCCTGCTCTTTCCTTCCTTGTGTAACTGGGCTTTCCATAGTCTTGTATGTAGTAAGTTGGAACCTTCTGGGCCCAACTTCGGCAGGAACATCTGCTCTACAATCTGTTCAAGTAGAGCTTGCCTTTCGGGATAGGACGTTCCAACGGGTCATGGACCTGATGACACTTTAGAGTTCATCACAGTCTTCCTCTTTGTGGTGAGTGTGCCATCAGAAACATAAAAACCCACTGACATCTGCCAGGGCATAATGCCGTTTGCTCAGGTTGTAAAGGAGAATGGATGAGCCTGACTTACAGTAACTAACCCCCCCCCACTCGTGCTCAGGCTCCCCTCCTCAAGCATTTAGAGTTTGACCTCCCTGGTCCAAGGTTTCCTTCCCAACAGCATTCCATCAAAATGTCCCATTTCCTCGTGCTCACTGAAGCTCTCCTTAACCAACCAACGCACTCTTTTCTGGGCTGCTAAAGGGCACAGAACAGGAAGGGCCCTGACAGAAATCAGAAGACCAGGGCAGCAGGTTTAAAATAAGTAATCATCCACAGACTAAGCTGGAAATAATTATACATATTTTATATATATCCTTTCAAATATGCTAGCCATGTATAAAATATATATACTTACCCATATTTGTAAATCACTTTACATTATATTTCTGTTTGATAATATATTCTACTTCAAATATTTAAACTATTTCTAGGGGGAAAAGAAAGAGAATTTCTGCTCATCTGAAGATACCACTAAGAAAAATGAAAAGGCAGACCACAAACTGAGAGGTGTTTGCAGTACTTTTATCTGATAAACATCTCCTATTCAGAACATAAAGACAACTCTTACAGATCATGAAAAGACAAACAGCACAATCTTAAAAATAAAGGAAGACTAGACTTTGCAATGCAATATACAGATGATGTATTATAGAATTGTACACTTGAAATCTATGTTATTCACCAATGTCACCCCAATAAACTTAATAAATAATTTTTTTAAAAAACTGACAGGCAAAAGACCTGAACAGGTAGTTAACAAAAGAGGATATGCACAAGAATGTCTAGAGCACCAATCCTTCTTAAATTCTTCCAAAAAATGGAAGAGGAGGGACACTTCCAAACTCATTCTATGAGACCAGCACTACCCTGATACCAAAGATAGACAAAGACACTTCAAGAAAGAAAATTCTAGATCAATATCCCTTAAGAATACTGTTGCAAAAATTCTCAAATACCAGAAAACAAAATTCTACAGTTTGTTAAAAAGGATTAAACATCATCACAAGGTGGGATTTCTTTTATTTGCTGAATGAATGAATAGTTAAACGGACAAAGATCAATCAATGTAATACACCATGGAACAAAGTATCCACATGATCTTTTCAACTGATGCAGAGAAAGCGTTTGACAAAATTCTTTTGTGATTAAAAACACTCAACAAAATGGGAAAATAAGAAAACTACTTCAACATAGTAAAAGCCTTTATTAACAACCCACAGCAAACATCATACTCAACGATGAAAGACTGAAAGCTTTTCCTCTAAGATCAGGAACAAGACAAAGATGCTCACTTTTTATCATTTCTATTCTACATAGTACTAGAAGGCCTAGTCAGAGCAATTAGACAAGAAGATTACTCATATGCACACAAAAACCCTGTCAAATCTGATAAACAAATTCAACAAAGTTGCAAGATACAAAAAGCAGCTACATTTCTCTATACTAACAATGAACAATCCAAAAAGGAAATTAAGAATGCTATTTACAATAGCATCAAAAGAATAAACTACTTAGGAATAACCTTATCTAAGAAAGCGAAAGACTTGTACATGAAAAACTATAAAATGTTTCTGAAAGAAATTCAAGAAGACACTAATAAATGGAAAGACATCCTATGTTCATGGATTGGAAAATTTAGTATTGTTAAGATGTCAATGCTACACAAAATAAACTACAGATTCAATGCAACTCTTATCAAAATCCCAATAACATTTTTTGAAGAATGTTAAAATATATCCTAAAATTCATATGAAATCTCAAGGGACCCTGGATAGCCAAAACAATCTTGAAAAATATAGCAATGTTGGAGGTTTCACATTTTCTGATTTCAAAACTTTAATACAAAGGTACAGTAATCAAAATAGTTTGATACCAGCATAAAGACAGATATATAGACTGACAGAATAGGATAGAGAGCCTAGAAATAGACCCTCGCCCGAGGATGTGTTTATTGACCTTGTGAGGGAGAGGGAGGGGGAGGGGAGGGGGAGGGGAAGGGGAGGGGGAGAGGGAAACATGAACTGGTTGCCTCCCATACACTGTGACCTTCCAGTGCATGGGATGACGCTCTAACCAACTGAGCAACCTGGCCAGGGTGGTAGTCTTCTGCTCTTTTTTAAAAAAATATGTTTTTATTGATTTTAGAGAGGAAGGGAAAGGGAGAGGGAAAGAGAGACAAATATCAATGATGAGAAAGAATCATTGATCAGCTGCCTCCTGCACGCCCCCACACTGGGGATTGAGCCAGCAACCTGGGCATATGCCCTGACCTGGAATTGAACCTTGACCTCCTGGCTCATAGGTCAACCCTCAACCACTAAACCACACCAGTTGGGCTTTTCTACTCTTAATATAAAGCACAGCAGTCCATATCCTTCCATTTACTCTAATTCTCTAGGCCAAGATCCAGGAGACATTTTTACTTTCCAATAGCAAGGGCCTTCGAGGCTCTAAAACAACCATCCCATGGCACACTACGGGGATGCAGAGAATGGCCTCTCCCACTAAGGGGCCACATCTGCTCGATGGAGCATCCCTGTAACGGGGTCTTTGGGGGTCTCAGACAATACAAACGTGCCCACAGCCAGTTTCTGCAGTGGCCTCAGTTTCCACACCCACCTAAGTGGCACTCCCTATTTCAGAACATTACGGGGAGGGCCGGGGGCAGTTCCTCAATGCCGCCAGAGCCTCTGGGTCCGGGGACTGGCCAGCCCAGCACTCTAGAAGTGCTATTCCTCCCGTCAGAACGGTAGCCGAGTCTAGGACGTCCTGGAAAACTGAGTTCCAAGCACTTACTTTCATCATTAGAAACATTCCCCAGAGATGTGTGGCTGGAATAACGTTTGTTTTCGCTTTCGTTGAGACATCTTTCAATCCAGCTCTCTGAAAAAAGAAAGAAAATCACAAAATTGCAGAATCGCTGCTGACAGGAACACCACTGATGCATTAGATTTCGTGAATGCCCAACTTTCATCTGAGAAGTGCTGGGACTGGGACTGGGTTTTACAAGAGGCTCCACGTGCACCATTTGCCGGGTAGTGTGAAGGCAAAATGGTAATTTGAAGCCCCACTTGAGTAATTCTTGGTCAAATTCTACTAATCCTGGAGTATTCATTTCCCAATAGTATTTACTGAGGATTGTCTTTCTTCAAAAGGAAGATACGTTCTTGAGAAGTAGTATGTAAAACCAAATTCGGTCAAATGACTCCTTAATGGAGGTTTGCAGACTTGTAAATGCACAGCAGAACCTTTCCCTTAAACCCAGTGGTTCTCAACCTTGGCTGCACATTAGAATCACCTGGGAATCTTTTTAAAATCCTGATTTCTGGGCCTCATCCTCCGGAAATTCTGTTTCTTTGTTATGAGGTGTGTGGCCCCACCCCATAACAAAGAAACAGAATTTCCGGAGGATGAGGCCCAGAAATCAGGATTTTAAAAAGATTCCCAGGTGATTCTAATGTGCAGCCAAGGTTGAGAACCACTGCCTTAAACACAAACAGGAGAGCAGATCAACCCTGTGGTCTGGTGGGAGTAGAGAGGGAGGGTAGGGATCTGCAGCTCTCCTCTCTTTGCCCAGTGAGCCTTGAAGGGACTCTTCCAAGCACAGACCATAAGTCACTGCACGAGGAGATAACAAGATCTCTGACAGCTGTGTAGTACTTTTATTTTTATTTTAAAAAGTATTTATTGATTTGAAAGAGAGGAAAAGGAGAGAAAGGGGAGGAGGGGAGAGAGGGAGAGCGGGAGAGGGGGAGAGAGAGGGAGATTTATTGTTCTACTTATTTATGCATTCATTGGTTGCTTATTTTGTCCGTTTCCAGTTTGGAGATCAAACCTGCAACCTTGGCATATTGGGATGACACTAACCAACTGAGCTACCTGACCAGGGCAGCTTTGTAATACTCTTAAAATCCAAAAGACTATGGTTTTTAAAATCCATTCCAAAGGCTACTGATGTACTTTCCACAATGTAGCATAATTCTATTCCATCCTCTAGACCAGGGGTGAGGGGTCCAAGGGCCATTTGAATATTTATAACATCCTTCGAGGGCCATACCAAATTATCAACTTAAAAATTAGCCTGCTCTATTTGGTCAAACATTTAATTAGCTCACCCCTAATGCCTTGGCAGGGCCAGACCAAATGTTTTCGTGGGCCTTATATGGCCTCTGGGCCGGACGTTCCCCACCCATCTTTCATTCATTAATTCATTCATTCAACATTAGCCAAGTACAGTCAGTTCTGCTATCATGCTTGTTTTGAAAATAAAAATGTAGTCCAATACAAGTAATATGGTTGCTTATGCTTGATTTCTTCTGTAAGGAAGAGGAGGTGAATACAGAAAACTGCATGTAGCCCCAAAGGAATATGCAAAATTCAGATGCTCACACCTGAAGCCACTTTAAGTTCTGTCAGCCACTTTAAGGTCACGTGTGTGTTACGAGCCACACCCGCCCAGATAACTAACCCATGTTCCGGCCCTTCACACGTCCACTTCCAAAAGCAAACTTCAGGTCTTTCCCAGCATGAAGTGTCCTATTTACTGTATTTATCTATCTCTTAACCATTTAACATGTGCAAACTGTGCTACCATTCTATTAGTTTGTTTTCAATGTGTCACTGACCAAGTTTCTGAGTGCTGGGCCCCTAGCTTACCTTTCCAGTAAACTCTGTGGTTTTTATTGTGAGAGTCTGCAGCGCGGTGGTGATTTTTAGGAATGCATATGTGGTGTTACGGCAGAACTGACTAGAGCTGTGGCTGTGTGCTTTTGCACGGACGGGGCAGTCTCCCGTTGCCGTCTCTACAATATGGGAACTAGCATTTATTGGACATCTACTTGAATAGGCCAGGCCCTTTGCATATGTTATCTCATTGAATGCTGACAGCTCCAAAAGTGAAGATTTTAATCTCCGTGTTTCCTAGAAAGCAACTGAAGCTTAGAGAGATTAAGCAATGTGACTCCTCATGATTCAGAGAGCCAAGGAAAAGATGGTTAGTTAACCCCTTTTGTAACATATTGTAAAAAGCAGCCACGCTCGTGAGTAAACTATGGGGGGCGGGGGAGCAAACGCACCCAGCAAGGAGACACGTTGGGTGTTTGTTTTGTATTTTATGTTCCGACAAACTGCTCTTTTAAAAGCTGCTTCTACAACTGTAAATAAGTACCGGAATATCCAAGGGGAGGGACAGGAGCCAGCTTGTTACGAGGATATGAAAATCTGTTATTTCTGAGGAAGCAACGCGCAGCAGAGAAATTCAAAATGTTACAGCGCTACCCCTTCCAGAGAGGAAATGCGCATCTAGAAACACATGGCTTGCCATGTTTTCAGAGCGGCGATGGCACAAGGTGGGCGTCTGTCATCACATCATACTGAAAACCGCAGCTGAATACAAATCTCCAGAATTCTTTTCAGGACTCCCCAGAATGTCTCCGCGCAGACCTTCTAATCCCTTCCATCCTGGCGCACTTTCCCTGGCAGCAGCCGCGGTGATTTTTAAAGGGCATCTACTGAAATGTGCAGCTTCTTCCTCCGCCAAACCCTCCCACCAACAGCCGCTTCTGCTGTTCTGGGCCAGTCCTCGGTCCTGCTACCTAGGTATTCCTACCTACTTGCTCTCACGTGCGTGGACACACATCAGCACACGTTAACCACCCCACCCCCTCCACAGAAACGGGGACCTCAGAGAAATGCTCGCTCTCTCGCGCCCACTTTGCCTGTGCCAGGATTAGGCCTGTTACAATTGGAGCCCTTCAGAGGGCCTCTTCCTGCAGGGAGACGCCCAGTGATGGGCGGGCCCTCTCTGAAGAACCCGTGGAGACATTCTGGAGAGGAGCTGGACTAAACCCCAGGTGGGCAAGGGAGGGCAGCGCCTGCCCACCAGAGTCAAGAACAAACTTTCCTGATGGCCGTGCCTGTCCTCCACACTGCTCGCCCCCGACACTGGAGAGGTGAAGGCAAGGTTACAAGAAGGGAGAGAGGGTTGGAAGGGCCATTAAAGAAGAAGAAGAGATCTCACCAAGGAAGCCTTTCCCCTCCCCATTGCACCCACTAGGTCTCTCTGACCCCATGACCTGTGCCTGCAGGCACTCTGCTACCCAGCTCTGCTCCTGAGAGCAACACAAAACAACCTGGTCGCCTTTGCACAGGAACGATATAGGAAGATAGCCATCCCGTCTCCTTTTTTTCTGGTCAAAGTACCCTGCCTGCTTCAGCTCTTTCATGGAAGAAACTGTTCTCGCTTCTTTACCACCCAATTCACCTGCTTCTGGCTGTCTTCTAGTTAATCAACGTCCACTTGAACAAGCACCCAGGATGGACTCCTGGAAGTTCCAGATGGTGCCCAAAATAGCAGAACCATCACTCTGTTGTTCTGGGGACCTGCCTGGAGTTCTCAGAGCATTCAAAGGCCCTGCATTCCAGAGTGCATGGGGCGACACTCCGAAATATCCCAACAGGCCATGGCCTTGCAGCCACAGCTGCTCTTTGACCTCTGTCTTCTTCCCTCATAGGACCGACAGTGGCATCTGCAACTCGTGTCCCATTGGTCAGGTTGCTCCATTTGACTGGAAGGCCCCTATTTAGGTCACAAGTAAACTTTAAAGCTATTAACAATGGATTTTGGTCTTGCAAAGATCAAGAATTACTCAGCCAGATGACATTCATATAGAACTTCTAATAACACACTGTGTTCATCTGTCTTATTTATTTATAATTATATGATTTAACAATAGAGGCCACCATATATTGAGGCCCTGTGGGCCAAGCATTAGGCAAATGCATTACTTCACCATCATATGTAATCCTCATAACAACCCTTTGGGGCAGGTGCTAGTAATATACACGTTTTAGAGATGAGGAAACGAAGGCTCAGAAAGACCAGGTGGCTTGTCCACAGTCACCCAGCTCGTCAGAGGCAGGACCAGCATTCACCCTCGGGTCCTAACCACAGTGCTCTCTCCCTGTGTGAACCGGGCCCTCCTTCACCCACGTCCCACACTGTCTCCAGATCACAGTGCCAACATGGCAGCGTCGGTCACAGTCTGCCTTGCATCAGAACTTTTGCTAAAACTCTTAGACATAACAACTTTTGCTAAACGCATTTATGTTTTTCTTTGCCAGCCTTTGTTATACATAGCAGGCTCTTCAGTTTAGAACTGAAACATCTTTAGAATGGAGTCCACTTTATCCTATTTCTTTTGACTCTCCACTAGTGCCTGGTAGAAAGTTTTTCCTGTAACCTGGCCTCAAAAAACGTTACGTTACCGATACATGTGATATCAAAGAATGTACAACATATAGATCAATATGTCTACTTATCTACAGGACTTTCTAACCATTTTCTTCCTTACCACATAGGCATGAAAAAGTACACTACATACAAGGCGATCTTCTTTTTTTAAAATATATTTTTATTGATTTGAGAGAGAAAGGGAGAGAAATAGAAAGATGAATGAGAGAGAATCATCAATCGGCTGCCTCCTGCATGCCCCGCCCACCCCCACCCCCCACTGGGGATCTAGCCCGCAATCCAGGCATGTGCCCTGACCCAGAATCAAGCCATGACCTCCTGGTTCTTAGGTTTATGCTCAACCACTGAGCCATTGTGGCCAGGCCAAAGCCAAAGGCGATTTTCTAAACAAAGCAAACAAAATTCAAAAACCATATATTTTGTGCCTTCTAGATACAAGAAGCTGTGAGTGATATAGACATGAATAAGTGGGGTTCTGCCCTCTAGGAAGCGAAGCAGATGCTACTCCCCAAGCTCATGAGTGCAAAGATTCTGCTGTTTTTGTTCACTACCTTATACCAGTGGCTGGCCCTGCACCTGGCCCCACAGATGTTGCAGAATAAATATGTTGTTGAATGCATTACTTTTTCGA